ATTTTCAATAATACAGCAGCATATACATTATACACAAACATTCTACACTATGGAGTGGCAAGTCTGAAAATGCCGTAGATTTCGAAAAATCAATATCATTGTGCCAATAGCCAGCGGCCAGTGCAACCAATCAAGCTCAAAAAGGTTAACAGGCAATGCCTTTCAGAATTAGAACTGATTTTTTCAAAATGAGATGGGAAAACTGTGGAAATCGGAAGGTATCCAATTTGCCAACCACACCAGTGGAAAGTAGCCCACAAGAAGGCGCAGACTAATGGTGGGTCAATTAAATAACGGGAATGTTACCTTACAACTAGACCGCCGGTTAGAGATATAACACCCCTTGCATTCCATAATTACTCACGAGGGGAGGGAGAAAGTGCCTATCCAACTGCGCACCGGTAGTACATCCTTCTATATTGAGAAACCTTCCGAAAGCTAATTTCAAGCTAAGCGAGTATATCGGGTCACCCAATCGACAACTACTGTGCGCATTCAAAATGTTACCATTTCAAAAATTCGCCATCACTACACTTTGAGTGCCAGTTGCATCGGGATATTATTGAGTATGAAGCTTAGGTGACATGGTCTACTGGTTAGACAGTTGACGACGAGGAATCTCGCTTTTGGATGTACCATGTTCAAATAAAATTGTCCTGTTTTTAACTTCACTTGGAAGGGGCATTAGTTGTTGGGTTTTTAGCTCGAGTCACATATAACATGGCGGACCACACTCAGGCTGATAGCTTGAACGGTTCAAGAGCGGCCATCATGGAAGAAGAGCTTTACTAACCAAGCTTTCAAGGATGATTCACCAAAAACAATCTTTTGTATCAGGTGTGCTGGCTACTTTTAGATAAGTTAGAGTAGCTTGCCGCTTGCGGTGATGCCGATGACAGGGTTTGTGTGGGTGTGCTGGTTGGGTGGACAGGATAATTAAACAGAAGTAGGAAGTATCAAGATTCCATCGCGAGATCGTCAGTGCGATCAGCTATACCGCAAAGAAATCTGCCCATCGAGGGTCTGTACTCAACGAACTGTCACACGGCACTTCACTAATGACCGTCCCACTATTAAATCTGTTGAAGAATATATCATCCCTCTTCGGCTCTCTTTTTCTCAGAAGCATACTGGTTTCGGTAGCAGTTTGGGGTGTCTACACATGTGGATTTCTTCACGCATTCACGGATTTACAAATTGATACACGGGATCGAGGCTATTGCCCAAGTTTCCCGGGTCGCTTTTGTTCTTGTTGGTCAGTGGCTGTCATCCACTTGAAAGGCACAAGTGATCCAGAGGGATTTTGATTCAAACTGTCTGATACCTGTCTAATTCCGTTTCTATGTGTTGCTTTCCACATTAAAAATGAAGGATAATGGACGAATTCCCTCAGTACCTAGGTAGTGAATGTATTCAAATAGTGACCATGTTTGCCTGCCTAAATTGAGAGTGAATATCTGGACGACGCGAAACTTCACAAATTTTCTGCAAAGCGGAGGAAGCTGCCGTTGATTTTGGCAATTTTTTTTAAAGTGACCACTGATGGGATCGTCCGGAGCTTTTCTGTATACTGACATCTGCCTTGTTCGTTACTCCTAGGCACCAGGAGAGCTGCATGGCACCAAAAACAGATCTCTTTTTTTTTAAATTGTGCGCCTTTTTAATAAGCGGTTTACTTACTTCGCTTTCCTGAATATCGCCTTGAGGAGCCTGCGGTTGCTATCATCTAGGATACTCATACCCTCATTCACTGGGTCATCTCGGGCCACCTAGGATGGCAGATCTCCACAATGTTAGGTTGAATCCAATGCTAGAACTTCCTGACGACTCATACTAGGGAGTTAGGATGGCTAGAGACCTTAACTAACACAGACCAGTCAACGTTCCAGTGCATTCAGAATGCAAGCACTGTATTACGCGCCTGGTTGACGCTCGTATGTCCAGTGTAAGGTTGGTGTACATGTTTCAAACACGACACTTCATAGGTTGCTCACACCGGTAAAGGTCAAATAGGGAGAATCGAACCGACGAACTAAGGCATTACCGTTACACGCCGATATATTAGGCGCTTCGGAAAACCATCATGCTATTGTCGCGAAATTTGCGTGACTTTTTCTGGGTTCAGGGACGTCAAAATGCATGGTGATGTGGCGTCCGTCGTAATACTGCATTTATTTCATGCCGTATGGGCTACTGTAGCGAGCCACTTGTGCTTGTCTCCAATGTCACATACATTTGAGGACGCTGAAAGAGTTTAGGGAGCCCATCGACACCCAAATGGGTTCCAATATTTTTTCACGGAGTAGTTAAATAAAACGACGGTGATAGCTGTCACTGTCAGTAAAACTGGTAATAGTAGCTAGAGTTGTCAAGGTCGCTTATAGCACGAGACTGCAAAAGGTATCAAATATGGCTATTTCACCAGAAGTGTATGCTGTTCACCATGGGGATCTTGGCGTCGATGCTCCAACCTCTCACAGAAAAGGTAGTGAAAATCTACGGTCTATATATCCCAAGATGACTGTGCATCTCTCAGTTTGTTTTGCATTTTAATTATGCCAAAACTAGCTGTCAGTCTTAAAATTTATAAACCCTGGACAAGCTCAGGAGCAGCTATAATACAATTTGTGGACTTTTCAGCCTTACAGCAATTGATGCTCATCCAGAAAGTCTTGTTATCCTTAAGGTATGACACATCATCAAGGACCTGCCTGGTTGCCTGCGTGGCGACGATACTGCAGTTTTTCAGGAGTACACCGGAGCATTCTTTTCGTGACGGAATTATTTCACCAAGGGATTGCACCGGCACATGGTCGGCCAGCATAGGCGAGCGCTCGCTGGTGCAGCTTCGGGGTTGCATGCGGCGGCGCTACTTCCTCGTGGAGTGAGGTAAATCATATCGTCCGTAGCCTCCTTAAATGTGTGATAAAGGCCATGGAAAAGTATATGCTCTCTTTCGACATAGACGGTTCGGCTCCACTCAGCAACAACAAACAAACAACAATGCCAACGATAATAACACTTATTCCTTACTTATGAGTGGCATACCGTGTGTCATGATCATACGTTTACAGTCAGAATGAAGCATGACTGGGAGGTTACAGTTAGTAAGGTTTGGGCGAAAAGAGGACAACCATGCAAACAGTGGGCAATATCCGATTGAATAATAATAATAGGTTTACTTCCCAACCTGTAATGAAAAATGGGCATGAGGCCCGACTAGTTCAAGAATGAAGCTGGTTGGCATGACCTAAAAGTGAAGACCTTTGCTGGACATGAGTGACCTTGAGCGGTTGAGTAAATGGCAGGAGTCACAGCAAGCAAAGATGGAGATGGAGAAAAAACGATTCGAAGTGGGAGCAAATAGCAAGTTGTGTATTGAAAAATGGCTTTATCTGAAGCTAAGTAGACTCACTGGTTGCATTGTTGTAGGGGAGTCAGATGCAAAGGATAAGTCAGATGGGGGGATACTGCATAGAGCCAAACGAACACCGCACATGGAATCGAAGTCGAAATTGCAGCAGAAAACCAGGCTGGTCAACTCATAACGTAAGTTCCATCAGAGTGGAATGAACTCATCCCAGGGGCGGTTGGGGCAAGGTAAAAATCTGCCCGTATTTTCAATTACAGGCTCGAGTGGGCGATGGGTTGTGGTCGATATTGTAGAGAAAGTAGTCGCGGGAGTGCCATCGCACTGGGTATGTCAGCGCCATGATACCATGGCACCACCGTTGTTGGGCTCTAACACAAATGAAACATCTACGCCAGGCGCGCTGTGCTTAAAATGGATAAGAGTCCATTACTATGACCCTACAACAGGGCCATCAGGAACATGGGAGACCTGACAAACATGCCTTGTGTGCACAGGCTTGCAGGACTTCAACTTCTGAAACTAGATTATCAAAGACCAGGCTGAGCTCGTGCTGAACATTCCAACCCACCCTTGTGGCTAATCGTCCGGAATTATCTCTCGGAAACCCTGAGAGTCCACTTTACATCTCTTATCCACCAATAACCAGCCTTGAACGGCCCGAAAATTTTGGGCTAGCCAGAGTGGTCTCAAAACAGATCTGCTCAATTCCTCATACAAGAAGCGTTTGCCCACATGTCACAGTTCATCGCTCCAGAGAAATACAGAAGCAATATCTACGGGCGATACCTCCTTGATTTATCCCATCGCCACCATTCGCTCACATCTGTTGAATACATTTGTTTCTAGCTTGAGCAAACATGGATAAAGATGAATGGGTTAAAAACGTGATCTTAAAAACGGCAGTGAAGCACCCAGATCAAACCTGAAAACCTCATAAACAAAAACAAAATCTCAGGTCACTACATAGATTGTTCAATTCCTTGTTTCTTCCCCTGACTGTTACAAACGACTAAGTTGCACACAGTCTCTCAACCTTCCATATCCTCCCTATTCCAAACTCCATTAGGACGGCCCAGAAATGCCCCCTTCCACTCCCCTGTCACGCACAACAATTGAATTGTGGCCCTCGATAACCTTCGGTCAACTTTATTATGTTTTCCCACCTATACGACAGGAATCTTGAACCTGAATTATCAAATTTGTGTTCATGGAGCTTTGGTTTCACCATTTATAATAAAGAAAACGACCCATCGGACTTCATTATGAAGTGTGCCAAGTTGCAAACACCATACAAGGAATTCATATGGGTTTCCCAAACTGTGTGCCAAGCAGAAAGCAGTGGAGGTTCGCATGCAGTAACCTGAATGACGGATCCTTGCTGTGACGCTTTGAAGTGAACTGCATTATTGTGAACTGACTGTGTTTTGCTCGACAGTATTTAGGTGGCGCGCGTTTGATCGTGCGTTCCGTCGCTTCTATTCTCCTCTTGAAGAAACGAATTCGCGTCAGAAACGTGTTGCCGTCTGATTTTTCACATTCTTCAGAAACAATAATGGAGTTCTAAATATGATAGCCAATCAACTGAAATCAGCTACTCGTAACAGTGCCCACAGCGATACTCCCTGTAATGGAAAACTCGCTTGTTCGTTCCGTGATGAGCGTACAGCGTACTTCCAATCCCGAAAGAAGAGGTACACCTACTTTTTACGCCTCATTGTGTGCTTCAGACGCCATACAGTCCTCCAATCATGGGTACTTCCAACGTTCTCAGAGGCAGATCTTACGCGGACAAATAAGGGGCGGCCGCCGGACAGAACGACACCTTGAAGCCTGCAGTTTTGTTTTTGATGGCGCTGAGGCGATTGAGGATGAGGTGCGCTTGCGTGCCGGGCCGTCGTTCGCTCAGATCACCGACCCCCTGACATCAAAGCCCTGCGACGGCTTCCTGCACGCTGCGTAAGTCTCTATTTTACCTGTTTACTGCATAAAGTGCACAGTTGCAACTCTTTCCAGGTTCGATTGGGCGAATAGACGGCACTGATTTGGAGGTATTTTCCTCTTGGGATCTTATTGCCCAAGTCGTTTGTCTCGTCGATGAACCTGTCTGTTGTCCCATCTGTCTTTATCCTCCGATTGCACCTCGGATGGAGCGCTGTGGACATATCTACTGCGGACCTTGCGTTACAAAGTATATCTGGTACGAAAATGGTGGCTCAGCCAAGAAGTGTGCTGTCTGCTGCTGGATAATCAGGTTAGAAGAGTTGAAAAGGTGAGGTGAGCGTTTCATCACGGTTTATAAATAGGGTATCTATCGTCCATGTGTCGCCACTAAAGGTGGGTTCAAAACTCTCGATGGTTCTTGTGGATCACCTAAGAGGTCATTGTACGCGGTCCACTGGATCACCAATTATAACTTCATCTACACAAGCTGATATATTTTCCTTCATTGTTGAAGTGGGAGAAGCACAACTGAGATCAGCAGCACAAGACGAAGTTTCTGTATTAGAAGCGCTCAAATCCACGTGTATCGAGGATGGAAACGTGGAGCTGATACCGGAAATTAATTTCATGGTTAACCAGCTGGAGGTTTCGCTGAAGAATCCCTCGGGTTTTTTTCAGGTTGACTGCCAAGCCGAGGTTCCACTGGAACTTCATGGGGCTTCGAAAAACGGTCATGCGGTCGACTCTCCGCCAGGCAAAATTGACGAACACAATCGTATATACCAGTGTATGCATTGTTTATTGCACTGAATAACTGCTCATATTACAGCTGCTGACGGTCAACCAATTTTTCTGGACGGACTTATGTGGAAATGTTTACTAGCGGAGTATGGCAGTGTTACTGAACTACCCGGAACAATCGACGTGACGGTCACGTCTCTGAAGACATACAAAATGAATCCGGTAGGAAAAACCACACTTTTCCCTATAATTTTTTTTTAACGGCCTGCTTATCTGCATCCCGATTGTTCAATTCTCTGGGGGCGCTGGCAGCACGGAATCATTCATGTTGCTTTTTGATTTCTTTTTGTAGACGTGTGCGTGTACGCTGGTGTTCTAGCGCATAGTGCACAATCGAGTCCTCAAGGCTTACGCTTGCATGAATAGCCGTTGAATGCCAGATCCTCTTTGGTCTAAGATTGACGTTGATCGTTTGAATTTCCTGAGAGTACTTCGGAAATCCTTTGGATATTGGCACATGGGATAGTGAAGACCGATGGGTTTTTGCGAATCAGTAATAAACCAATGGCTCAATTCCGTCCAAGGTTTTCTTCGCATAAGTGGAGGAAGCGTGGGGAGTTGATCGGAATTTATCCTAGACCATAATACGATGGCTTTTCGTTTATATCAAGCCTCTGTTTCCGGCTCACCATAGAATATCGATTCTGATTGAGCGCGAGACGTACATAAGCTGAAAATGAAGGCGAAAGCATGATTAATACAAGACGATGTGAGCACAGAGAATATTCATGACATTCACCCTGGCCGTTGGATTGTGTGTAGAGAGGGATAAATTGGGTACAGGTATTGGATGAATTATTGTAAAAATCTAATCAGTAATAATGAGTGTGGTTAGGCTTCTCGATTTCTTAAAATATAGGGCCGTGTACGCTGCTGGAGCCTGGCTAAATCAGAGATGCTAGGGTCATATGTATCTGGAGATGCAGGTGCGTTGCCCGGGCACGGGGGTGAGACTGAAGTATGATCGATATTATCTCCAATGTTATTGAGCGGAGGCGTGTGCAAGTCAGATCGATGGGGTGCATGAACACCATTGTCTTCACTGGATGAGGTACGCGTGAAGTCGTTGACGTGTGCGATCACCACAAGGAGCGAGATGACGGACGGATACGGTGCTTTCTTTCCCGCCGGGAAAACGAACATGGGCGTAATGTGGATTGCAATTTATAAGTTGGACTTCCTCACCGACGGGCTCATACGTTGAGGCACAGTCAAATCTCTTCAGTGAAACAGGTCCTGGAACAGTGAACCAAGTTGGTACAGATAAACCACAGGATGACCTACGTTCAAATCGGAACATTCGTTCATGTGGAGTGGCATTCGTGGAGACGCAGAGAAGGGACCGTATAGAGTGAAGAGCATCTGATAGAGCCGACTCTCAGTGACAGCTTTGAAGGCCTTCCGCCTTGAGTCTAAACTGGATTGCGTTCCAGAGTGTTCCGTTGAGGCGTTCGACTTGCCCGTTCCCCTGGGGATTATAAGTTGTTCGGCTGGTGCAAACTCCCCTGTCATGTAGATATGAATGAGGAGCCACGATCCGAATGTACATATGCAGGCATGCCAAACAAAGAGAATAACTCACGTGGACATTTAATAAGTGTAGACGCACATGTATCTGTGCAGGGAGAGGCAAACGGTGAACGAGAAAACTCGTCAACGATGGTAAGGAGATACCGGTTTCGAGTAACAGAAGGTAGAGGTCCTTCAAAATCGATGCTAATTCGTTCAAATGGTTGGGTCGCTTTGATGAGCGTAGCGGGGGGTGGTTTGTAAAACTGCGGTTTGATGGCGGCGCAAACCGTACACTTTGTGGTGATGTCCTTGACATCTTGGAG